GTCGTCTACAAACAGTCCAAATTTTGTTACACGCTTAAATTGAGATTACTACTTACTGGTTCAATCGTGATGGAAAAATGGTGCTTACTTGGATCAGGTTTCATACCTTCAATCAAGTTGCCGTAATAAGGATCAGCTCTGTAAAAATGGGGCAATGATATAAACAGTGGAATTCCATGTCTTGTGTTTGAAAGGTTTACCATGCCAGACGGCAAACAATCCCCGTTGCAAAAACATCGATTTTCTGGGTAAATCGTGCCTACGAGTCACTCTGAATAAAAAATACCAAAATATTTTCACTTACCATTGTCCAAAGCTCTGTCATCCATCATATATTTGTAACCCAGCATACCCCATACAATTTCTTCCTGTTGAAACGTCATGTTAACACTTCTTCGTAAATCTGACGAAAATATTTTAATGACGTCTTTTTGCAAATTTCTTGGGAAATATTGGCCTGCAGAACCATCGACTGTGGCACACGACCCATCAAAAAACGGAGTTTGTTTCATCCCTTCCCAAGTTTTAATTTCGCCGAGGGTGGAGTTAACACCCGTACCCATGTTGAAAGTGCCGTCAAATTCGGACGAACCATTTCTCTGAAATGGTTATTATAAATGGTGGTTAACTTGGAGTTTGGTTGTTACCTTATAGAACCAACCAAATCGGTCCCAGTCGGGAAAGTTATATTTTGCAAAAAACGGAATAGCTCTTGCTACTTTGATTAACGGTTCTGGATATCCATCAAAAAGAAGTTCCTCAGCACTCGTTGTCATTTTCAAATTGCGAAAGAGAGGGTACAGAGTGATAAAAAGACCTTTTTTGACGAAATAATTCCAGTTTCGCAGGATGTATGATGCGGCCTGTTAAGAAATAGAATTAAGATGCACCAAGTCGTTTTTTAGGTATTTAGAAAAAAATATTACTAGAGGAATTGGGTTCATGCTTATGATTTTATCTTTCAAGCCGCCATTTTTCTCGTTGTCAGTGTGCCAATATTTTCTTTGTTTGTACGTAATTGTTCCATTATCATTCCAAATAATATCGGTCTTCTCTTCGGTCTGCCAAAATCTGTAAGGTCCCGTTTCTTCGAACCTAGGTTTCACCGACAAGTTGTAAAAATCTTCCGGATTGGTCCAGTTGAAGAAATGAAATTCTGTTTTCAGAGCCACTGGAATGACCTTCCAAAATTTGTATAGCAGAGTGAGTTCTCGTAGTGTTAGGAAACAGTCGAAAAGTATAGGCCATATACAAATAAGGGCAAGTCCACAAATACTAAACAGTAAACAAACACAAAACACAAATCTGTTTCGAAACAGTACACTGTTCGATTTCATTTTGAATACTGACGTAGTTTCTTGACCAAAGCAGTTAGTTTTGAAAAAAATTCGTTCTTGAAGAGTGCATATATTAAATTCTAACCAGAACGACAAAATTAAACAGGTTTTAATTGTGGAATTTAATTAACCGTTTTGTCAGTTTTCGGGAGCTATGTCAAGATCCAAACACCATAAGCTAAAGACGTTTTACAAACAAGTTCTTCGGGAAACTGTCTACTTCCATGTTTTCTCGACGTTTCATGACTCCTAGAGTACGAAAACGTAGGTCTCTCGTTTCTGTCTGTCTCTCTGCCTTCTTTCGTCTGCGGTCCACGTTTGCTCGATTTTTTTAGACAGATAATATCCTAAACTACCGCACCAATTATTATCAAATTTTGTATGTGTGTTAGTAACATTCATGTGTAGATGGTAAGAACGCTAATCACAATTTGTCTCATCATCCCCACCAACGATGATATATATGACGTCATCTCCAACTTTTATCACAGTAGTAAATGTTAAAAGTTATAAAATAACATACCCCTATGGCGATTGTGATTTGTCAATGCATTCATATTTTTTAGAATTTCTTATGCAGGAACGGCTCACTCCATTTTCCCGAAAATTTGGGAAAACAGTTCTGTTATTATTAGTATTACAGTGCATCTATCCAAACTGATACACGTGTCCTTTCAAAAATGTTGATGACGTTTACACAAAATTTTGTAAAACGAAAAACTCATTTGAAACGTACGCATGGCACGCGTCTTTACATTTACTTTAACATTACATACATATTTTATTTTGACTTATAGGGATTCGCATAAAAAATAAAATTCGCAAAATCAAATTTCGAAATTTTTGAAAAAGCTGGATATGTTAGATTGTATTCTATTGTGCTTCAGCGGCGAGGGAAGTTCTGCGAAATAAATTGGACGATTTTTAGATGTTTAGGCAGAACGTCGTTGTCAACAGGATATAGCTAAACATGACCAACTGATACGCAAATTCAGTTTTACCTTTATCACTGAAGTAATGGTTAAATAAAGAGACCCATTTAAAGAGTAACAGCATCCACTTATTTTATTGTATGTTATTAATTATTATGCTACTTCTAAATGGTTGTAGTGTCAATGACTGGGCGAGTATTATGTAAAAATGCTAATATTTTGACCTTGTATAGAACTATTTTGTGTTATCTATTAAAAATTATAAATATGTATCCAAAATCCATTAGAGACTTACTTTAATCAGAGAAAGATGTGCGCAGCGAGTAAGTGGATGTATGTTCGTGTTTAAATATTTTAATGCAGTGGGATGCATTTTAAGGAAATTTTGTTTACTTTTTTTTAATCGCAAATAAATAAAACACCGAATTATGTTGTAAAATTTACGTTGAAGCGTTATCCTAAATAGATTCCAGCATAATTTGCATATAAATGTAAGCCTCTAAATAGTATGATAAATATTATGTAGCAAAAAAACAAATTTGTCAGCAACTTATATCGGTGACACCTTTTTTTTTGCGTGAAAAGTGGCGTCTAATTTAAAAATACGATGTAAAGAGAACATACGCAACTGTATAATTATTATCTGATTTTTGATGGAGGAATGGGGGGTGGGGTGAAAATAAAATGAAAATACTAAAATAAGTGAAAAACCGACGTTTGTTGACAGCATTCCGTCCCTTTTATTTCAAACAATATACATTACATGTTTTCATCTCTTTCAGGAATATGTTGTTAGAAAAACGACTCAGCCAAACCAGTTTGGTTTATTTATACATAGAACAAGGTAGAGCGGTACGGCAATAAATTTTAGACCATTTAAAAGGTAACAACAGTCAAGGAAATGTGGCAACTCTCACATTCAATCTAAACCATTTTTTAAGGGAATACTTTGTTCCTTGTGGAGTTCCACATGTTTCTGTGATTGCGGTTGTTTGAAATGTCTTCTGTACATAACAAACCCCACTGCCACAAGACTAAACACGATCATACTTGCACCTATAGTCAGAAACATCGAAGAAAAGTTGACCAATACCCACAGTAAAAACGCAACGAAACCTTCCATCTCATAAGTTTGTAACATGGAAAAGACTGGAAACATGAATTTTGGGGCATTTTCAAACATCCTTAAACAAACATCAAGTTAGATTGATAACTTACACGATTTTGTACTTACGATACACCAGAAATCGGTTGTATAAAACAAATTAATTTGTGTTTGAATATTTAGCTTCAACGGTATTCCAGATGTCTATAAAAAACTTTTCAACACAATTTTTGACAAAATATGTACTTACTGGTTCGACTGTCATAACAGACTGATGTATATTAGCATCAGGTTTCAAACCATCAATTAAGTTGAGATAATAAGGATCGGCTTTGAGAAAATGGGGCATGGATATAAACACCGGAATACCATATTTGGTATCTGAAAAATTAGCAGCACCAAAAGGCACACATTTCTCCTTACAATAACATTCATTTTGAGGGTAAATCGTTCCTATAAAATGCTGTCAATTACAAAAACCAGTCCACAATCCCATTTACCGTTGTCTATGGTTCTGTCTTCCACAATGTATCTATAATCTAACATACCCAGCACAGTTTCTTCCCGATCAAACGTCAAATTGATACTTCTTTGTAAATCCGGCGAAAAAAATGAATTACTTCTTTTTTCAAATATTTGGGAAAAAACTGACCCGCTGATCCATAAATTCGAGGACAGGAGTTACCAGGAGTGTCCTTCTGACCATTCCAAGATAAAATTTCGCCAAACGTTGAGCTGTCTCCTGTACCCATATTAAAAAGTCCTTCATAATCGGCCGAATCGTTTCTCTAAAATAGTTCTAATGCAAAATGATGTAGTTGGAAATGTCTTGGTACATTGTAAAGCCAGCCGAAGCGGTCCCAGTTGGGGAAATTAAAGTCGTTAAAAAGGGGAATACCTCTAGACATTTTGATCAACGGTTCTGGGTATTCGTCGAAAAGGAGCTCACCAGCGGTTCGTGTCATGTACAAATTGCGAAAGAAGGGCTTCCGAGTGAAGAAAAGGCCTTTTTTGACGTAGTAGTTCCAGTTTCGTAGAATGAAAGAGACGGCCTGGTAACGAAAAATATAAATCGTCTTACTAAAAACCAGAAGGATGATACATTACACTTCCTCTGAATAGGGTCCGCAGTGACAGTTTTGTCCCTTAAATCACCATTGTTCCCATCGTTGTCGTAGTACCAGGATTATACGTTTTTAAAAGTGATGGCCCATTGTTGTTCATGTAATATTGATCTTTTCCTCTGTGTTCAAAAACCTGTAAGGTCCGGTTTTTACAAATCTGGGTTTTACTGACAAATTGTAAAAGTCTTCAGGGTTGGTCCAGTTGAATAAATGAAACTCAGTGTACATTTTCATTGGAACTGATTTCCAGTATTTATTAATGATAATGTTCCTGAATGTCAATAAATTATCAAAAAAGAGGGATCACAGGCATATTGAAGCAAGTCCACATATAGTAAAGAATAAACTTGCACAAAACAGAAACTGAAGAGACTGAAAATTTTCACAAATGGTTGTATGTATAAAGTTATCACAAGCTAGATCACTCTCACTCTATCACAACTGCACTTGAATTATACATAAAATCTCATAATTATTATCAACATATCGAATACTGTTTCGACTACGTCTGTTGAAAAACTGACTTTAAAGGAACGTTTTGTTCGTTGATAAACCTCATCTGTTTCTGTTGATGTAGGTACTTGATATGTCTTTTATACACAATAAGTGAAAACGTGCAAATACTGAGCATGATCATGCTTAAACCTAGAGTCACACATATCACAGAAAAGTTAACTAACAGCCACGTGAGAAATGCATGGATGCCTTCAATTTCGTAGGTTTGAGATGCCCATATGACTGGAAGCATGAATTTTGGAGCGCTCTCAAACATCCTTAAACAATAACAGTTAAATTAGAGAATGAGCCTTGTCTTTTACTTACACAACGCCAGGAACTGGTTGCACTAATAAATTACCTTGGATTTTGGCGTCGACCTTTAGTGGTATACCGGTCGTCTACAAACAGTCCAAATTTTGTTACACTCTTAAATTGAGATTACTACTTACTGGTTCAATCGTGATGGAAAACTGGTGTTTACTTGGATCAGGTTTCATACCGTCAATCAAGTTGCCGTAATAAGGATCAGCTCTGTAAAAATGGGGCAATGATATAAACAGTGGAATTCCATGTCTTGTGTTTGAAAGGTTTACCATGCCAGACGGCAAACATTCCCCGTTGCAAAAACATCGATTTTCTGGGTAAATCGTGCCTACGAGTCACTCTGAATAAAAAATACCAAAATATTTTCACTTACCATTGTCCAAAGCTCTGTCATCCATCATATATTTGTAACCCAGCATACCCCATACAATTTCTTCCTCTTCAAACGTCATGTTAACACTTCTTCGTAAATCTGACGAAAATATTTTAATGACGTCTTTTTGCAAATTTCTTGGGAAATATTGGCCTGCAGAACCATCGACTGTAGCACACGACCCATCAAAAAACGGAGTTTGTTTCATCCCTTCCCAAGTTTTAATTTCGCCGAGGGTGGAGTTAACACCCGTACCCATGTTGAAAGTGCCGTCAAATTCGGACGAACCATTTCTCTGAAATGGTTATTATAAATGGTGGTTAACTTGGAGTTTGGTTGTTACCTTATAGAACCAACCAAATCGGTCCCAGTCGGGAAAGTTATATTTTGCAAAAAACGGAATAGCTCTTGCTACTTTGATTAACGGTTCTGGATATCCATCAAAAAGAAGTTCCTCAGCACTCGTTGTCATTTTCAAATTGCGAAAGAGAGGGTACAGAGTGATAAAAAGACCTTTTTTGACGAAATAATTCCAGTTTCGCAGGATGTATGATGCGGCCTGTTAAGAAATAGAATTAAGATGCACCAAGTCGTTTTTTAGGTATTTAGAAAAAAATATTACTAGAGGAATTGGGTTCATGCTTATGATTTTATCTTTCAAGCCGCCATTTTTCTCGTTGTCAGTGTGCCAATATTTTCTTTGTTTGTACGTAATTGTTCCATTATCATTCCAAATAATATCGGTCTTCTCTTCGGTCTGCCAAAATCTGTAAGGTCCCGTTTCTTCGAACCTAGGTTTCACCGACAAGTTGTAAAAATCTTCCGGATTGGTCCAGTTGAAGAAATGAAATTCTGTTTTCAGAGCCACTGGAATGACCTTCCAAAATTTGTATAGCAGAGTGAGTTCTCGTAGTGTTAGGAAACAGTCGAAAAGTATAGGCCATATACAAATAAGGGCAAGTCCACAAATACTAAACAGTAAACAAACACAAAACACAAATCTGTTTCGAAACAGTACACTGTTCGATTTCATTTTGAATACTGACGTAGTTTCTTGACCAAAGCAGTTAGTTTTGAAAAAAATTCGTTCTTGAAGAGTGCATATATTAAATTCTAACCAGAACGACAAAATTAAACAGGTTTTAATTGTGGAATTTAATTAACCGTTTTGTCAGTTTTCGGGAGCTATGTCAAGATCCAAACACCATAAGCTAAAGACGTTTTACAAACAAGTTCTTCGGGAAACTGTCTACTTCCATGTTTTCTCGACGTTTCATGACTCCTAGAGTGCGAAAACGTAGCCTTTCGTTTCTGTCTGTCAGTCTGCCGTCTGTCGTCTGCTGTCCACGTTTGGTCGATTTTTTTAGACAGATAATATTCTAAACTACCGCACCAATTATTATTGTCAAATTTTGTATGTGTATTAGGTACATTGTGTGTAAATGGTAAGAACGCTAATCACAATTTGTCTGATCATCCTCACCAACGATGATATATATGAGGTCATTTCCAACTTTTACAGTAGTAAATGTTAAAAGTTATAAAATGACATACTCCTATGGCGATTGTGATTTGTCATTTCATTCATATTTTTTAGAATTCCTTATGCAGGAACGGCTCACTCCATTTTCCCGAAAATTTGGAAAAACAGTACTGTAATTATTAGTATTACAGTGCATCTATCCAAACTGATACACGTGTCCTTTCAAAAATGTTGATGACGTATACACAAAATTTTGTAAAACGAAGAACTCATTTGAAACGTACGCATGGCACGCGTCTTTACGTTTACTTTAACATTACATACATATTTTATTTTGACTTATAGCGGTTCGCATAAAAAATAAAATTCGCAAAATCAAATTTTGTAATTTTTTGAAAAAGCTGGATATGTTAGATTGTATTCTACTGTGCCTCAGCGGCGAGGGAAGTTCTGGCGAAATAATTTGGACCATTTTTAGATACTCAGTCAGAACGTTGTTGTAAACATGAAATTCAGTTTTACATTTATCACTGAAGTAAAGGTTAAATAAAAAGACCCATTTACAGTGACAGCATCCACTAATTTTATTGTATGTTATTAATTATTATGCTACTACTAAATGGTTGTAGTGTCAATGACTGGGCGAGTATTATGTAAAAATGCTAATATTTTGACCTTGTATACAACTATTTTGTGATTTATTAAAAATTATGAATATGTATGTATCCAAAATGCCAACCATTAGGAGCTTACCTTAATTAGGAAAAGATGTGCGCAGCGAGTAAGTCGATTTATGTTAATGTTAAAACATTTTAATGCAGTGGGACGCATTTTAAGGAAATTTTGTTTATTTTTTTTAACTGCAATAATTTGCATATAAAAATAAGCCTCTAAATAGCATAACAAATATTATGCAGGAAAAAACAAATTTGTCAGCAACTTATCTCGTTTACACTTTTTTATATATATATATTTTTGCCTGAACAGTAGCGTCAAATTAGAAAATACGATGTAAACCGAACATAAGCAACAGATTTGTCAGCTGTGTGATTATTACCTGATTTTTGGAAGGTGGGGGGATACAATGAAAATACTTAAATAAGTGAAAAACCGACGTTTGTTGACAGCATTCCGTCCCTTTTATTTCAAACAATATACATTACATGTTTTCATCTCTTTCAGGAATATGTTGTTAGAAAAACGACTCTGCCAAACCAGTTTGGTTTATTTATACATAGAACAAGGTAGAGCGGTACAGTCAAGGTAATGTGGCAACTGTCGCATTCAATCTAAACCATTTTTTAAGGGAATACTTTGTTCCTTGAGAAGTTCCACATGTTTCTGTGGTTGCGGTTGTTTGAAATGTCTTCTGTACATAACAAAACCCACTGCCACAAGACTAAACACGATCATACTTGCACCTATAGTCAGAAACATCGAAGAAGAGTTGACCAATACCCACAGTAAAAACGCAACGAAACCTTCCATTTCATAAGTTTGTAACATGGAAAAGACTGGAAGCATGAATTTTGGAGCATTTTCAAACATCCTCAAACAAACATCAAGTTAGATTGATGACTTACACGATTTTGTACTTACGATACCCCAGAAATCGGTTGTACTAACAAATTAATTTGTGTTTGAATATTTAGCTTCAACGGTATTTCAGATGTCTAGAACACACATTTCAACACAATTTTTGACAAAATATGTACTTACTGGTTCGACTGTCATAGCAGACTGATGTATGTTAGCATCAGGTTTCAAACCATCAATCAAGCTGAGATAATAAGGATCGGCTTTGAGAAAATGGGGCATGGATATAAACACAGGAATACCATATTTGGTATCTGAAAAATTAGCAGCACCAGAAGGCACACATTTCCCCTTACAATAACATTCAATTTGTGGATAAATCGTCCCTACAAACAGCCGTCAATTACAAAAACCAGGACACAATCCCATTTACCGTTGTCGATGGTTCTGTCTTATTATTATTATTATTATTATTATTATATATATAGTCGGTCAACAGGTTATTTACCCAATTACAGACCAACAAATAACCGAAAGCAAATGACAAGAAGTAGAATAACTAATCAGCAGCTACAAATTACTGTGAATCCCAAAAAGGAAAAGTTTAAAGCTACTCCAAATCCCAATGCAGATTTTCAGATTAGGTAGGTCAAAATATACGTGTAATCAATCAATAATCATGGAAGATCAGTTAATTCAGATAGTAAATTAACTTACGCAGTAATGTGAAAGCCTACTAAATTTGAGAATAATTAAAGAATTTAAGAGCCCGCAGTGATGTTGAAAAAAGATCAATCTTATTATGTGTTCTATTACCGATCCTACACATAGTGGACATAGGAGAGAATTTGGCGATATCAGTTCTCGGGCAGGCTATGTAGAAAATTTCAGAGTGGCGAGATACTAGACTTCGAGGACGTGCATTAAATGATAATCTGGCTAGCATTAAAGGACAGTCAACACTGTTATTTATCATTTTAACTAGGAACAACACAAAGAATTTTTTACAAGTTTCCATAAAACTGGAGAAAGTGAAGCGATTTAAAAGCTCAGATTGAGGAAAACCAATAGGTGGGTAAAAACCATTCTCTCGGTAAAACAAATATTGAAGAAACCTTCGTATGACACGTTCCAGATGCATTAAATGAATGTTATGGTGAGGACACCAAATAATGCAAGCATAGTAAAGTTTGCTGCCAATTAATGAATTAAAAAGTCGAATGATAGTGTCACAGTGTTGAAAATCTCTAGAGTTCCTTATGATGAAACCCAAAGTTTTCATGCAGTCTGCCACAACTTTGTTAATATGATAAGCAAATGTGAGCCTACTATCAAAAACAACCCCAAGATCCAAAACGGTCTGAGGCCTGGCTAAGACTACCCCATTAAGGACATATTCAAAGTGAATATTATATCGCTTTAAAGAAAATGACATTACACAACATTTATCTTGATTTAACAAAAGCCTGTTCAAATTGCACCATACCACAATCCTATTCAAATTATGTTGTAACTTAATGCAGTCATCAGTTGAACTTACTCTATTGTATATCTTGATGTCATCTGCATATAAAGAAAATTCAACATCTAATTCATTCGAGATATCATTGATGAACAATAAAAAAAGAAGCGGACCAAGTACAGAACCTTGTGGTACTCCCGATAAAACAGTAATGACATCAGAATCATATCCACAGCAATGGACATATTGTTTTCTGTCACCTAAGTACGACCGTAAGCTAAGGACGTTTTACAAACAAGTTCTTCGGGAAACTGTCTACTTCCATGTTTTCTCGACGTTTCATGACTCATAGAGTACGAAAACGTAGGTCTCTCGTTTCTGTCTGTCTGCCTTCTTTCGTCTGCTGTCCACGTTTGGTCGATTTTTTTAGACAGATAATATCCTAAACTACCGCACCAATTATTATCAAATTTTGTATGTGTATTAGTAACATTCATGTGTAGATGGTAAGAACGCTAATCACAATTTGTCTCAACATCCCCACCAACGATGATATATATGACGTCATCTCCAACTTTTACAGTAGTAAATGTTAAAAGTTATAAAATAACATACCCCTATGGCGATTGTGATTTGTCATTTCATTCATATTTTTTAGAATTTCTTATGCAGGAACGGCTCACTCCATTTTCCCGAAAATTTGGGAGAACAGTACTGTTATTATTAGTATTACAGTGCATCTATCCAAACTGATACACGTGTCCTTTCAAAAATGTTGATGACGTTTACACAAAATTTTGTAAAACGAAAAACTCATTTGAAACGTACGCATGGCACGCGTCTTTACATTTACTTTAACATTACATACATATTTTATTTTGACTTATAGGGGTTCGCATAAAAAATAAAATTCGCAAAATCAAATTTCGAAATTTTTTGAAAAAGCTGGATATGTTACATTGTATTCTATTGTGCTTCAGCGGCGAGGGAAGTTCTGGCGAAATAAATTGGACGATTTTTAGATGTTTAGTCAGAACGTCGTTGTAAACAGTATATAGCTAAACATGACCAACTGCTACGCAAATTCAGTTTTACCTTTATCACTGAAGTAATGGTTAAACAAAGAGACCCATTTAAAGAGTAACAGCATCCACTTATTTTATTGTATGTTATTAATTATAATGCAATTACTAAATGGTTGTAGTGTCAATGACTGGGCGAGTATTATGTAAAAATGCTAATATTTTGACCTTGTATAGAACAATTTTGTGTTATCAATTAAAAATTATAAATATGTATCCAAAATCCATTAGAGACTTACTTTAATCAGAGAAAGATGTGCGCAGCGAGTAAGTGGATGTATGTTCGTGATTAAATAGTTTTATGCAGTGGGATGCATTTTAAGGAAATTTTGTTTATTTTTTTCTTATCGCAAATAAATAAAACACCGAATTATGTTGTAAAATTTACGTGGAAGCGTTATCCTAAACTGATTCCAGCATAATTTGCATATACATGTAAGCCTCTAAATAGGATGACAAATATTATGTAGCAAAACAACAAATTTGTCAGCAACTAATCTCGTGGACACGTTTTTATATATTTTTTTTGCGTGAAAATTGGCGTTAAATTTAAAAATACCATGCAAGCAGCAGATTTGTCAACTGTATCTATATCCCAACATACCCGCCACAGTTTCTTCCCGATCAAACGTCAAATTGATCTTCTTTGCAAATCCGGCGAAAAAAACTGAATGACGTCTTTTTTCAGATATTTGGGAAAAAACTGACCCGCTGATCCATAAATTCGAGGGCAGGAGTTACCAGGAGTGTCCTTCTGGCCATTCCAAGATAACATTTCGCCAAACGTTGTGCCATCACCTGTACCCATATTGAAAAGTCCTTCATAATCGGCTGAACCGTTTCTCTAAAATACTTCTGATGAAAAACGATGTAGTTGGAAATGTCTTATTACATTGTAAAGCCAGCCGAAGCGGTCCCAGTTGGGAAAATTAAAGTCGTTAAAAAGGGGAACAGCTCTAGACAGTTTGATCAAGGGTTCTGGGTATCCGTCGAAAAGGAGCTCACCAGCGGTTCGTGTTATGTACAATTTGCGAAAAAATGGCTTCAGAGTGAAGAAAAGGCCTTTTTTGACGAAGTAGTTCCAGTTTCGTAGAATGAAAGAGGCGGCCTGGTAACGAAAAACATAAATCGTCTTACTAAAAACTAGAAGGATGATGTGATACATTACGAGAGGAATAGGGTCCACAGTGACAATTTTGTCCCTTAAATCGCCATTGTTCCCATCGTTGTCGTAGTACCAGGATTTTACGTTTTTAAAAGTGATGGTGCCATTATCGTTCCAAGTAATATTGACCTTTTTCTCGGTGTTCAAAAATCTGTAAGGTCCAGTTTCTACAAATCTGGGTTTTACTGACAAATTGTAAAAGTCTTCAGGGTTGGTCCAGTTGAATAAATGAAACTCAGTTTTCATTTGCATTGGAAATGATTGCCAGTAGTTATAAATGATAATGTTGTTGAACGTTAATAATTTATCAAAAAGGAGGGGTCGCAGGCATATCAAAGAAAGTCCACAAATACTAAAAAATAAACTTGCACTAAACAAAAATTTATTTTGTAAGAATACACTGGTTGGTTTCATTTTGGCTACTGCTACTGAAATGCTTGATTAGATGGTGGTAGGCATAAAATTGAAACTGGTTTTAATCGAAGGATGAACTATGATTAGTAGGCTGCCTTCAGGGGCAAGGAAATTGAAAAATCCGGCTTTAGCCTTGTTTACAAGTTTCCTATTTTGTGGAATATTAAAATATATGAAAATAAAGATCATATATGTATTTGCTTAAGAACCATTTTAGTGTAAGTTTTAAAAAGAAAAAATGAAAAATGCAAGTAAAGAAGTTGTTTAGTTCTATTTTTAATTGGTCGTATTTAAAGTTTCACTTGCATTCTACTCCCTTATTCATCAAAAATGCTAAAATTAGTATCACAGAAGCAGAACCAAGCTTTTTTAACCACTTTAGTGATGTGCAACAAAAACAAAAAAAAAATGTGGAGAGGTGGGTCGACAATATATCCATGAATGTGGTTCAATAGACCTCAATCCTTCAAATTGACAATAAAGATATCTAGTCCACTTTCATAATTTGAACACAGAAACTTCTTCCCTGTTTAATCAGATTTCAAAGTCCAAGTATCTGATAATATTTTGTTTAATTTATTATTTTTTTATTTTCTTTAATAAATTCAAGTTTAAACTTGTCGATGATGCAAATTTAACTTTTTAAGAAATACCTCTAAGCACAACATTACAATTCAAATCAGATTTAATATTTTGAAGGAGATCAACGCACAAACTGAGCAGCATTTTCCTACTGCGTGATCAGAAATGACTAAGTCTGTGGGCGGTACCTTTTACAAAAATGTGAACTTTTCTTGCGTTTGTGTTGGTACAACATCACAATGTGATAAATTTAGGTTATGTTTTGGATACATTATGCAAATTACAAATGTCAACAATCAGACAACCGGAAATTATGGAAAACATTATTAGGATGGCCAACAAACTCACTCATTTCTGATCACCTAATTATACCGTCGGTTTCCAAGAATTCCAAGTACATAATCGGTTGGGTAACGGGAAACTTAGATCGTCGTATTCCGTGAATTGTCACTACCTGGAAGATATTACATTAGAATTTTATCGTAGTTTTGGAAGTAAAAATGTTTTTGTTGTGGTTTTATTCATATTTAAAAGTTATTTGTTACATAAGGTGGCAGATATAAATATGTAAAACAACAGGTGAAATATTAACAACCTTTTGTTGACGTAGTTATACAGACAAGTTTGTCCACGATTGTATGAGATATTTAAATTTCACGTCGTAGTAATTTTGGTCGAGTGGATTCTACCGAAGATCGCTTCTGTGTAGGTGATCTTTAATAGCCTATTTAGTTATCTAAATGACATTGTGTCTGCACTTTAAATTTAATTATAACTACATTCCGTTAATCGAATTCATCTGAACTTGTTCTCTTTTGGTATAACATTGACCTATAATAGGTACCATAAAATTTTTAAATGAGTGTATGTGGTCCGTACTACGAATCTTTTACCTAATTATCTACGAGGATATAATGTATTCACACTCGTTGACTTTTTAAATTAATGTTTAATAGTTTGTTCGCATAAACAATAAACATTAGTTATTTGATTTTCTTAACATGTCTAAGTACAATGTTCATTTCTTATCAATGATTAATTATAAAATGGCTTTGAACTAATTGATCTGTTCATCTTTTATCAACGTACAGCTGGTTTCAAAAAAACGGGACAAATGACAGTGACATGAACGTCATATTCCATTGCTTTTCATTGATCTATGAGAACCTGATTTGCTCATCTTGTCCCGTTTTTTTTGAAACCAGCTGTATATCTGGTTGAAAAAATAAAATTTATAATGATGTCTCAGTATCTTGGGCGACTGTATCATTTCAGCGGCTTGCTGTAAAAGTATTAGTAGTTGGCTTTGAACTTGAGTAATTCGTGGCCATGTTTAAGGTTACATCACTTAGAGGTTAGGGAAGTACAACCTGATCAAATTTAATAATTTGTGTTTTTTAGAAAGAGAAAACGGCTGAGTTAATTACAAATTAATTTGGTATAAAGACATATGTGTTGGTAATTCCAGAACCTACGAAATAGAGCCCAATCTCTTAGTGGTTTCACGCGTAATGGGTTTTGGGAAAACTTAGCATTAAAATTCAAATTTCAAATAGTAATCTTGCTGAAAAATTCCCGTCCATTCCAAAATTTGGAAACAGATATTGCGAAAAAAGCAGGACACTTAATTAGGTTTATGTGGACTCTTTGGTATTTAGTGTAAATATTTGAATATTATTTCAACTTTTTAGCTGACTTATTACTCTTATTAGTTTAGAATTTAAATTAATCGAGAAAAGTTATTTTGCGAAAACAATTTTAACGATTTCTGTTGCGGTACATTATATCTCATTAATAAAACCGGGAAATCACACTTCATAACTGTTCACAATTATCTTTTTATAGTAAACAACAAACAACTTTGCATAATCTGAATGGTACGCCAATTTTAACGTGGGAGGATTAAACAAAACATGAAGTTATTAATTCGTTGACTTTGTTTTCGGTTCAAAAAAACCGTTTTATTTTTGATGGCTTCATTAGGTAAGAATACATCTTTTTTATTTCCCGAGCGTAAGCAAAGGAAATATTGTAATCAAGTCTGTGGGCCGACTTTCTACTTTTATGTTCTGTCGACCTTTCATGACTCCTAGAGGACGAAGAAGTAGGACTCCCATTTCCGTCTGTCCGTATGTCCGTCTGTCCGTATGTCCGTCTGTCTGTCTGCCGTCCTGGATTTTTATTAGACAGATAATCTCCGAAACGACCGGACCTATTTAACATAGTTGTTTGTACACATGTAGTTTATGACTCCGTGTTGAGTTTTCCCGAAACGTCCAGATTTTTGGAAAAAAATCAAAATTGTAAAACAAGATTTTACAATTTAATTTCGAATCTGCAAAACCAAATGTTTTGAAATCCTACAGATATTTTAAAGTTATGATAAGCATAATAAATTTTTATTCGAAATTTCTGTACCTGAAAGCAAAAAGTAAGTTAAGTCCAAAATCATAGTTTCCCAGAAACAAACCATTAAACAATTTTTTTTTACAAATAAAGTGAGATAAAATGATTTTAAACTTTTAATATTCTTTTGTTTTTATTTAATCATTCACACATTTCTTTTTTTAATTTGCATTACGACAAATTGATAAATGTTTTTAGATAATTTATATTGGCTTTAATACTATTTTAAAATCAAAACAACGTAAGTCCAATATTATTTATGTTATTATCATAATCCAAAATTAAATTATATCTATAATTACATTTCTGTTACAACTAAAAAAAATGGCAAAACAAGAAAAACACTAAATTTCTTCTTCTTGCCTGGTTTGAGTGGCGTAAGTTTTGAAAATAATCTCGATACTCTTCGGGCACCCATTTCAACATAGTTAATAGATTTTCAAATTTGGCTTTGGTAATCCTCTGGTTTGAGGCGACAAACTCATTCAAATCAAATTAATTTCTACGTGACATTCTTCCGATGTATAAACATATGTTATTACTGTCAAGTTGTTTTGCTTATTGAGCGTAAACTAAGAAAGTATAGTAACGGAGTACATAGGGCAACTTGCTACTTTAATATTTTCTCACCTTTAGACAGGGCCGTAACTACGGGGAGGCCAGGGGATGCTCACTCTCCCCTAGAGAAATTTTTGTTTCCCGTAGACTTAGACAAGTTATAATTAACCAAATGTGACAACTTGTGACAAATGATGACAGTCGTGAAAATAGAAAAATTCAAAGGTAACTGTTTCATTCAAGGTTTTAATTATTTTTATTAGTTGGACTTGCGTATTTTATGCACGTAAAATATCTAGTTTTAGTTTCAAGATTTTTGAAAAAAGAGTGTTTTTGTAATTTTTTTGTTCTCATTAAAGCAGACAAATTCAAAATGTTCAAAATCACCAATTATCTTAATATCGATTAAAATGGACTTACTTACTTTTTGCTCTTAGGTACAGCTATATTTCCTTATCTCCTCCAAAAAATTCCATTCTTATTTGTATCTGTTAAGATAAGATTAATTTTGGTAAATAACAGACCCTCTAAGAAACTAGCGGGCGGGCGGGTGGGCGGGGCTAGTACTTGTTAAGATACGATTGATTTTGGTAAATGACATATCCTCTAAGAAATAAAGGGTGGGTGGGCGGGGCTAAAACGTTCGTGATTTAATCAGTAAAAAATTGACTCATTCATTAATTTTTAATTAAGCCACCCGTTTATGCAAATCTAAAAAATATAAATACAATGATAAATCACAAGTAAAAACTCATTATATTTTGCGCATTTTGGGTAGAATTTATTGGGCAAAATTTTGAGATAACGTCATCGATTTTTGGGGGGAATAAACAGATATAATTTGATTAACAATTTACCATGCTTACACTAACTTTAAAACGTTTGCAAGACTTCAAAGTATTCCAGTTTTGCAATTCTTGATTTATTCAATAAAATAAATTGACTGATTCATGCGTTTTTTGAGTCAACCTGTATGAGCAAATCCAAAAAATGTGAATGGAATGATAAACCACAAGTATAGACTCATCATATCAGGGTTGAGGGGGTGTTATTTATCCTTCTGGAGCGAGGGAAGATCTGTCGAAATAACCTTCGACCAATTTTTTAACTTTTATTTTTATCGTGTGCGTTAAAATAAAAAATGGAGGACTTCATGCATATGTAATATATTTAGACTATTTTTAGTATGTTATTTCATAGAAATTGCCTGTATATCATTCAAAGAAGTAGCAGTAAGCAATCTTATCGACCTTGGTAACAGAAATATAAATATAATGTATTCATAATAACTAAATTGTATTAGGTAGTTTGTTTTTCGTTAGACACGCAGAAAATAAAGACGCATCTTTAATTCATTACGTAACTCCCATGTTTGCTGTGAAAAAAATATATAAAATGTTCACCTTAAAAAAACACATTAATTTATTAGTTTTGTTTATTTTGTACAAAAATTAACGTTAAGAATCACCACAGCTACATTCTGTGAAACTCGCTATTTCACTCTTTTTCTCTCTCACACACGCATCAGAAGCACATTCATGATCACATATTTCTTAACTTCTAAAACACTGACACACGTTACATTTTTTCAAAGTTCATTTTTAAAGGAATATTTTGTTCTTTGAGAAATTCGATATGTTTCTCTTGTCGCAAATATTTTGTTTGTCTTTTGTACACAACAAATGCGAATGCGCCAATACTGAACACAACCATGCAGACACCAACAGACACACATATCACAGAAAGATTTACTAATAAAAAGACTAAAAATGCATGGAAGCCTCCAATTTCGTACGTTTGCGATGTCCAAATGACCGGAAGCATGAATCTTGGGGCACTTTCAAACATTCTTAAAAAAAAAAAAAACGTTAAACTAGAGAATGAGCGTTTTCTTGTTACTTACAACACGCCAGGAACTGGTTGAACATACAAATTAGCTTGGATTTTGACATCTACCTTTAGTGGTATTCCAGTCATCTAAAAAAAATTAGTTAGATTTTTCAAAAATAAGTCGGCTTAAGTTTGTACTCACTGGTTCAATTGTGATAGAAAATTGATGTTTGTCTGGATCAGGCTTCATACCCTCAATCAAGTTGCCGTAATAAGGATCAGCTCTATAAAAATGGGGCAACGATACAAACATCGGGAAACCGTGTCTTGTGTTTGAAAGATTAACCATTCCAGACGGTAGACATTCGCCGTTACAAAAACATCGGTTTTGTGGATAAATCGTGCCTAGGAATCACAATGAGTAAAAGGGACCCAGATGCAATCTCGTTTACCATTATCCAAAACTCGGTCATCCGCTATGTATCTGTAGCCCAAGATACCCGCTATAGTTTCCTCCCGGTCAAACGTTAAGTTAACACTTCTCCGTAAATCCGACGAAAATAATTTAACCACGTCCTTTTTCAAGTTTCTCGGGAAAAACTGGCCCGCAGATCCATACACTTCTGCACATGCCCCATCAAAAAACGGAGTCCGTTTTTTCCCTTCCCAGGTGTTGATTTCTCCAAAGGTTGAGTTAATACCAGTGCCCATGTTGTACGTTCCTTCGAATTCGGTCGATCCGTTTCTCTAGAAGAAATGTTATGAATGATGGTTAAGTTAGAGTTTTTTATTACGTTGTAGGCCCAGCCAAATCGGTCCCAGTTCGGAAAATTACATTGAGCAAAAAAGGGGACTGTTTTTGCTAGTTTGATCAACGGTTCCGGGTATCCATCGAAAAGAAGTTCACCAGCGGTTTGTGTTAGTTGCAGGTTGTGGAAGAAAGGGTGTAGTGTGACGAAAAGACCTTTCTTGAAAAAGTAGTTCCAGTTTCTTAGAATGAATGATGCTGCCTGTTGAGAAAATTAAATTAAATTAATCGTTAGTAGCGTTTTGAAAATTATATTACTAGAGGGACCGGGTTGATGGTGACGATTTTATTACTCAGGTTGCCATTATTCTCGTCGTTATCATAGTGCCAATACTTCATTTGCTTGAAAGTGACTGTCCCATTGTCGTTCCAAATAATATCCGACTTCCTTTCATTCTGCCAATATCTGTAAGGTCCCGTTTCTTCGAATCTCGGTTTCACCGATAGATTATAAAAGTCTTCAGGGTTTGTCCAGTTGTACAAATGGAATTCTGTTTCCAAAGCCACTGGAATGACTTTCCAAAATTTGTGAATAAGACTGCCTTCCCGCAACGTTAATAAACAGTCGAAAATTACAGACCAAAGACAAATAAATGCAAGTCCGCAAAAACTGAGTAGTAAACTAGCACAAAATAGAAATTTGTTTTGGAAGAGTACACTCTTCGCTTTCATTTTGGATACTGATGGCATTTTCGATTTGGGATATATTGTTTTGGAGAATCCCTTCTCCCGTTTGGAAGCTAACGTCCGAGCAACGAAATTGAAACTGGTTTTCACTACAGTGGCGTGAATCATGTTATTTTATTCTGTGGAGAGTCCCAGTGTCAAGAACCCGAAGTTGGATGGGTCATGGATGGCATTGTGAAGATGAAACAATTTTTTTGCAGGCGGCTTACGGTTTTTTTAATCTTTTTTTATGGGTGTCAATGCGCCTACGCAGTTTTTATTTGTGAAAGGAGTAGTGGAAAGACAGTAATGCTAATTACACACGCGTACTAATTTACGTGTCTGGGTTTTTAGTTGAGTCAGTAGTGAAATTCACGTGGATGTAAACCATAAGCTATCACTTGGACAAAATGTTTTACCCGTTACTTTGTGGATGCTAAGATATTTACTTTGTTAAGTACCTACTAAATGTTCAGTTTAACGAGTCACACGTGTTACAAGTTTCGTTTCAAGTTAACAAGTCTATCAATCGCGATAATGATTTATAGATAATTAAAATTAAACATAAGCGCATTTTAATAAGTTTCATAATTTCGATAGTGGTATGTATTTTTTAATACCACATTATGTAAATTCTTTATACGTCATTCATTTGACATGTTTATTAATACTCTGCTGTTTACAGTTTAATAATTATACTACGTACGGTGAGAGACTGAGTCATAGAAAAGTCACTAAATCTACGCAAAGAAAAGTGTACTATCCGCGTGAAATTTGAAATTTCAAAATGAATCTAATCTCAAGCGCTACGAAAAATAAGTTTTACATTAGTCGAGAATTTTTGTAATTAATTTCGTTTATCATACGAAAGTGAACTCCTGGCTTCGAGTTGATGTTTTTGGCTACAAAAATGTCTCCGTCTATTTTCATTATACCTCTGTATTCTCCTGAAAATTATTTGAAATGTCTCCTAGAAGATTCATCTTTAAAGAAGCACTGGAGATGAGTGTCAGAAAACTGACTTAAGTAGGATTTATAAACTTGAAGTTCCCGTTCCACTTGCTGTTCCTGCTGACGTTGCTTTTAGAGCTGAAAATTCAAACTCCGTTATCAACCTGCTGTTGATAGTAACTTTGATATTCAACTTCTGCCATATTTAAAGGGGTTGTAGAAAAAAAGTGGAGGATTTAAGTTGATTACTACCAAAATTTACCATTTTAGACATGTTTTAAGTTTCTTGTTGTCGAAATAAGTCTCCACATTAAGAAAAAAAAAAAAGCAAAATGTAGCCCCGCCCACCCACCCTATCTCAATTGTGATGATTTTTTTTATTCGTTGTCAGATCGAGGGGGGCTTAATTGCAAGATCCATATTTGTCTACAAGAAATTACCATTTTAAACATGTTTTAAGTTTTTTGTTCTGAAAAGACGACTACGTATATTAAGATACAAGGGAAAATATAAGCCCCGCCCTATCTCAATTGTGATGATTTTTTTTTTAACTGCGAGAGTTAAAGGAGCGGAATTTAATTGCAAACTCTTTATTATTTCTCTACAAGAAATTACCATGTATGACTTGTTTTTGAGTATCGTGTTATTCAAAGAATATTATGTACATAGATTAAGAAAAAAATTAAAGCCAATGATTAAGCCCCACCCATATCTGCCCTGATCTAACTAGTAATGAAATTTTCATTCGTTGGCAGACCTAAGAGCGGCGGAACAAAATCCATATTTCCTTACGAAAATTTGCCATTTTGAACGTGTTTTAAGCTTCTAAGAATAAAAAAAGTCATCACAATTGAGATGGGGTGGGTAGGCAGGGTTTATATTTTGCTTTTTTTCCTTAATATAGATAGTATTCTTTGAACACGATACTCAAAAACTTGTTTTTAATTTTTTATAAAGAAATAAATATTTTGCAGTTAAGTTCCGCCCTCTTGGTTAACGGCGAATAAAAAAAATCATCACAATTGAGCTAGGGCGGGTGGGCGGGCTTACATTTTGCTTTTTTGTTTTAATACTTGTAGACATCTTTTCACAACATGAAACTTAAGACATGTTTAAAATGGAAAATTTGTATAAGGAAATATCGATTTTGCAGTTAGGCTCCGCCCCACAATTGCAAAATACATATTTCCTTTCAAAAATTTACCATTTTAACCATGTTCTAAGTTTTTTGTTGTGAAAAGATGGCCATGGGTATTAAGAAAAAAGTCAAAATATAAGCCCCGCCCACCCGCCCTATCTCAATTCTAATGATTTTTTATGCGTCGTAAGCCGAGGGGCGGAGCTTAATTGTAAAAGTTTTGTTTCTCTACGAGAAATAAAAAACATGTTTTTGAGTATCGTGTTGTTTAAAGAATACTATGTATATTAAAAAAAAAATTGGTCGAAAGCTGTTTCGCCAGAACTTCTCTCGCACTTAAAGTACAGTGAAACATATCCAGAATTTTTGAGTTGAGTTTTTACTTTAAAGAATTTTGTAATGACGTCATCAACATTTTTGCAAGGACACGTACAGGGCTTTTATAAATAATTCTAAGGGCGTAGATGGCCATGGATTTCAAAAATCCCGCTTCGCTGAAATTATGGCTGTGATTATGCATCTTTATGTAACCTGTCATTTGAAGTCGTCGTTTTTATTGTTTTAATGTTTTTCAAGTACGAATTACAGTAATTCTCGTTGATCCAAGCTCAAAACAACAAAACAGTCATTCTCAGAACTCTCGGTGGTTGCGTACGAAAATTCTGATTTTGTGCTAGGAAGCGAAGACTGTGAAAATTCTGTTGAATAAGACACTTTCATCGTTATGTCTTGTTATCGCAATGGGAAGAGTAAGTGTATTCTGTAACCACTCGTAAGCAAGAATATCTGGCAAAATATCGTGATTTAATAATTTAAGAAACATCGTTAAAGGTTCACATTAGGGATGTAATCAACAGATTTGTTCGAACTGGCAATATCAACAAAGAGAAATCTCGTGGAAGACTTCATCTGAGGAAATTGTTGATGATTTGAGACGACTTGAGCAGAATTGAACAATTGAACAACGGGTCCAAAGTATTGGCGAAAAGATGTTACAGAACATTGTTGAAATTAAAAAGAAAGTGAACATGTGCCTTGAACAGAGTGATGAACATTTTCAACATTTACTGTGATGTTTGGCCGCATTTGTTTCTTTTTATCGTAATGAATCAATTTTATTTTTTAAAAACATAAGAAGCGTTTAGGCAACCAGTTATACACATGTGTGTGGTCCATGTGTGATTTTTGTCATGCGTCCTTAGGCACTTAGTATGGATCTCGGTACAGTTAAATCTGAGAGCGGCACGTTTACATGACCTACTGTGACCTTATAATCATTTATAGAAACCCTGTATATCAGCTGGGATTGGCGCACTGTATGCAATGAATGCAATGATAACTCACAAGTAAAAATTCTGATATTTTGCACATTTCGGATAGAATTAGGAATTTAAGTCGTTACTATGAAAATTTGCAATTTAACAGCTTTAAATTTCACAAGTTTTTAAAAGATTAATAGAAGCAAAATCAGTCTTATCTGAGTAAGTACTAGCCCCGCCCACCCGCCCCTGTTTTCTCAAAGGGTATCTCATTTGCCAAAATAAGACTTATCTTAGCAAGTACTAGCAAGGACTACCCTCTGAAAAAATAAAGGGCGCGTGGGCGGGGCTAGTACTTGCTAACATAAGTCTTGTATCATGAGTCTTATTTTGGCAAATGACATATGTATCCTATGAGAAAATAGGGGCGGGCGGGCGGGGTTAGTCCTTGCTTAGATAAAACTGATTTTCGCAAATGACATATCCTGTGAGAAAATTGGGGTGGGTGGGCGGGGCTAGAACTTGCTGAGATAAAACTGACTTTGGCAAATGACAGAGGGCGAGTGGGCAATCACAGAATCGTAATTTGACTGGTTGAAAACACATGTCAACTCGCAAGAAATCCCAATCTCTCACTCTATTATACAGTAAATACTTTGTATGTGTCAAGCGTATTTTTTACCCGTGCTACATGCAAAATTTTATGTCTTACAGTGTAGTGTTTGTTAAGTATTAACAAAATAAAATACCAGTTTTGTAACTGGTAGCTGACGAATAATTTTTACAAGCAGATTAAATTTTGCCTCTTTCCAGAGACCGTGGCTTCAATAACATAAATTAGCGCTGTTGCCGGATCTCTACAACCAGCAATACACTAAGTAATAGTTGGTTTCCAGCATTGCGTTTTCTGTTGACGTTACTATCCCAACAATTCGTAAAGCCCTTGGGTATTATTTGGACAATGACGTGCTTGAAATCCGACCATTACAGACAATAATAAACCGTATATAAAAAACATTTGTCTAAAAAAGCTCTCGTTTATTTTATCGAAAAATTCACAACTGTTATCAATTAATCGTCATACATAACAGGTACTATACTTTGCGAAAAATACTAGTTCGCTCGTTTTTTCACACACCTCTAAAAACACAACATCACATAATTTATTATCAACATTTAAATACTGTACGGAGTTGACATAGCTATCTCTGTATAAACTCTGTTTTTAAAGGTATATTTTGTTCTTTGAGGAATTCTAAGCGTTTCTGTTGTCTCAAGTATGCGAGATGTCTTTTATATGTAATAAATGAGAACGTGCCTAGACTGAGCATGACCATACTTATACCTATACTTATACATATCACTGAAAAATTAACTAATATCCACAACATAACTGCATATAAGCCTTCAATTTCGAACGTTTGTCTTGTCCATATGACCGGAAGCATGAATTTTGGTGCGGTCTCAAACATCAGTACGCCCGGAATTGGTTGTACGAAAAAACTGGCTTGGATTTTGGCATCTGCCTTCACAGGTATTCCAGTAATCTATAAAAAACAAGGATCGGGTTATCTAGCATAAACCAACCCTATACTTACTGGTTCAATCGTAACGGAAAACTCATCTATATTTGAATCAGGCTTCACGCCATCAATCAAATTGGCATAATAAGGGTCAGCTCTATAAAAATGTGGTAACGATAAAAATAGCGGGTAACCATGTCTTGTGTTCGAAAGGTTAAGCATTCCAGAAGGCAAACAATCCCCGTTACAAAAACACCGGTTTTCTGGATAAATCGTACCTACGAATCGCACTGAATAAAACGAACCAAGTAACAGTCTTATTTACCATTATCCAAAAGTCTGTCGTCCACTATGTATCTGTAACCCACGACACCAGCCACAATTTCCTCCCGGTCGAACGTCAAATTAACACTTCTTCGTAAATCTGTCGAAAATACTTTAACCGAGTCCTTTTTCAAATTTCTCTCAAAAAACTGGCCTGCAGACCCGTAGACTTCGTTACACGGCGAATTGAAAAATGGAGTTCGTTGGTATCCGCTCCAGGAATCGATTTGCCCAAATGTTGAGTTAACTCCGGTGCCCATGGTAAAGGTTCCCTCGAATTCGGATGATCCGTTCCTCTAAAATTGTAACGATGAGTGATGGTTCAGCTAGATTTTCTTATTAAATACACTGTAAACCCAGCCGAAGCGGTCCCAGTTGGGAAAATTATGTTTTGCGAAAAGAGGAATAGCCCTGGCTATTTTGATCAACGGTTCCGGGTATCCCTCGAAAAGGAGTTCGCCAACGGTTTTTGTTATTTGCAGGTTCCGGAATATAGGGTGCAAGGCGATAAATATGCCTTTTTTGATGAAGTAGTTCCAGTTTCGCAGGATATACGATGCACCCTGTTAACAAATTGGGTTTATAAAAATTTTGAAAAAATTTGAATGAATAATCAAAAATTAAAAAAAAAATTATTACTACGGGGACCGGGTTCATGGTGACTATCGTGTCGTTCAAGTTTCCGCTTTCATAACGCCAGTATTTCTCTACTCTGAACGTGACGGTCCCATTGTCGTTCCAACTAATGTTAACCTTCTTTTCGCTCTGCCAAAATGTGTAAGGTCCTATTTCCTCGAACCGCGGTTTCGCCGACAAATTGTAAAAGTCTTCCGGGTTTGTCCAGTTGAAAAAATAAAAGTCCGTTTTCAGTTCCACCGGAATGTCTTTCCAGTATTTATAAAGGAGACTGCCTTCCCGTAATGTTAACAAACTGTCGAAAATTACGGACCAAAGACAAGTAAAAGCAAGTCCGCAAATACTGAATAACAAACTGACGCAAAACAGAAATTTGTTTTGTAAGAGTACACTGCCCGATTTCATTATGAATACTGAAAGATTTTTCGAATTAAGATAGACCGTTTTAAAGAAAATCCCTTCTCTTAGGTTTGGAAACTAACGTTGTTACAGCCATGAAATTAAAACAGGTTTCTAAACGCGCGTAGATCACATACTTTGTTTTTAAAAGAAGAATATCAATGTCAAGAGCAAAAGCTGCATAGTGGGAGGGGCCACGATTTCCCAATACGGAAGAACTTTGAGAAAGTGTGCACTGCATTTTTATGAAGCTTTTGTTTTGTACGAATTTTTTTTCGTCAAAATTTTCGCCAATAAAAATTACTTTTGCATTTAAGTAAAGCACAACGCACTATTGGGATAGGAATTATTTATCAAACGTTTTGTTTACTTGGCATTCGTAAACAGTAAATTGATGTTACGTTATTCGCTGGGTTAATTTTTTTTGATGGTCACTCGTGGAAAGCGGCAGCCGAAATAAACCAGTTTTGTCGTAATTGACGTAGGAACCATAAAAAAAGTTCGTACCTACTAGTCTGATATGATTATTTATGTTCTGCTGGTTAGCCTATAATGACGTATTTAGCACTTAAGTTTTGTGAATTTCGTCTAAGATTTATATGCTTCAGTAAAACTCACTAGTTCTCTATTTGTTGTTTATTTATATACTAACAACACGTTTTTAGCTAATTATCACACGCATAAGTTTGTAAAATAGGCTATATCACTCTTATTCTGTCACAATTGAATTTGAATTATATATAAGATCACATTAATTATCAAATTAGACTAAGTGTGTTGAAAATCTGATTTTAAAGGAACGTTTTGCTCTTTGAGAAACCCCATCAGTTTCTTTTGATGTAGTCTCTCGATATGTGTTTTATACACAATAAGTGCGAACATGCCTATACTGAGCACGACCATGCTTAAACCTAGAGTCACACATATCACAGAAAAATTAACTAACAGTCGCATGATAAATGCATGGATGCCTTCAATTTCATAGGTCTGAGATGTCCAGATGACTGGAAGCATGAATTTTGGAGCGCTTTCAAACATCCTTAAAGCAACGACAGTTATATTAGAGAATGAGCCTTGTTTTTTACTTACACAACGCCAGGAACTGGTTGCACCAAAAAATTAGCTTGGATTTTGCCGTCGACCTTTAATGGTATACCAGTAGTCTACAAACAGTTCAAATTTTGCTACACTCTTAAATTGAGTTTACTACTTACTGGTTCAATCGTGATGGAAAAATGGTGTTTACTTGGATCAGGTTTCATACCTTCAATCAAGTTGCCGTAATAAGGATCAGCTCTGTAAAAATGGGGCAGTGATATAAATATTGGGAAACCATGTCTTGTGTTTGAAAGGTTAACCATGCCAGACGGCAAACATTCCCCGTTGCAAAAACATCGGTTTTGTGGGTAAATCGTGCCTACGGGTCGCTCTGAATAAAAAATACCAAAATAGTGTCACTTACCATTGTCCAAAGCTCTGTCATCTACCATGTATTTGTAACCCAGTATACCCGATACTATTTCTTCCCGTTCAAACGTCATGTTAACGCTTCTGCGTAAGTCTGACGAAAAGAGTTTAATGACGTCTTTTTGCAAATTTCTCGGGAAAACTTGGCCTGCGGAACCATAGACTGAAGCACACGACCCATCAAAAAACGGAGTTCGTTTCTTCCCATCCCAAGTGTTAATTTCGCCAAAGGTTGAGTTAATACCGGTACCCATGTTGAAAGTGCCATCGAACTCGGACGATCCATTTCTCTAAAATGGTTATTATGAATGGTGGTTAACTTGGAATTGTGTTGTACATTATAGAGCCAACCAAATCGGTCCCAAGCGGGAATGTTATATTTTTCAAAAAGGGGAACAGCTCTTACTACTTTGATTAACGGTTCTGGATACCCATCAAAAAGGAGTTCCTTAGCAGTTTTTGTCATTTTCAAGTTGCGAAAGAGAGGGTACAGGGTAACAAAAAGACCTTTTTTGACGAAGTAATTCCAGTTTCGCAAGATGTATGATGCGGCCTGTTAAGAAATAGAATTAAGGTGGTTTTATAGACAGAAATACAAGAAAAAGTAGAAAAATTTATTACTAGAGGAACTGGGTTCATGGTGTTGATTTTATCTTTCAAGTCGCCATTTTTCTCGTTGTCAGCATACCAAGATTTTCTTTGTTTGAACGTAATTGTTCCATTGTCGTTCCAAATAATATCGGTCTTCTCTTCATTCTGCCAAAATCTGTAAGGTCCCGTTTCTTCGAACCTAGGTTTCACCGACAAGTTGTAAAAATCTTCCGGATTTGTCCAATTGAAGAAATGAAATTCCGTTTTCAGAGCCACTGGAATGACCTTCCAATATTTGTAAATCAGATTGAGTTCTCGTAGTGTTAATAAAAAGTTGAAAAGTGCAGGCCATAGACAAATAAAAGCAAGTCCACAAATACTAAATAGTAAACTAACGCAAAACAGAAATCTCTTTTGGAACAGTACGCTGTTCGAGTTCATTTTGATTACTGAAAGAGTTTTATGGCCGAAACAGGTAGTTTTGAAGAAAATCCCTTCTCCCAGTGGAATTATAAAAACTGGTTTTAATTGCAGAATTTAATTAACACTTTTTTCTTTTCTGAAGAGCAATGTCAAGATCCAAATACTTTTTTTTTTATGGATCATGGTTAACTTAATGTCGAACTGAAAAATAAGTGAACAGTTTTCTGTTTTTGTTTTTTGATTAATTACGAATTACGTCTCTTTATTTGTAAATGTACGCGCAAACGTACTACTTACCGAACATAATCTACTTTATAAATAGTCATAAAGAAAATTGCTTACTTGTCCACGTAGTAAGAAAAAAGTGAAATGGAGAGTTTTAATTCACGAATACGCACCCGTACAGGTTAGGTGTTGTTTATAAAAACCGGTCGCCACTACTATGCGTTTGCCTTGATACATATTCTTCAATGATTCTTCCATGTGTAACAATTTTGTTTTACTCTGACCCCATAGATCACCGGATTTAAATCCCATCGAACGCATATGGGATATGATTAGAGGAGTCTAACGACATTGCAAAATCGCCCACAGACTAACTCATCTACAGCAACAAATGTTTGGTGTTCCTTATGGTTGAAATTCTAACTTTATTAACTCAACACAAAAAACAGCTTGGGAATTCTTTTTATTATTGTATGTTCTATATGTGAGTTTCAAAAATCAGGGAAAAAATTTACAAAATCACTTTCTTTTTAACGTCTAGCCCTCACAAACAAACAAACGTACCACAAATATTTTATATTAAAATAACAATTACATTCTAGAAATATAAATAACAACAGCTACAAAAATAATCTTCGAAATCGTAATTATTACGATTTTAGAGGAATGCTCTGCTCAGTCGAATACAAAAACTTCTTTTTCTTCCTTCCACAAATGTTCATAGTGCACACTTTATAAATAAGGCACCCCATCACAATAAACCCGAAGAAGATCATTAACACTCCTACAGAAGTGCAAATGATTGGCAAATTCAACAACAGCTTCAAAATAAAGGCTTCATGGTTCGGTATAGTCACACTCTGTTCAAACCATAGCATCGGTATAAAGACTTTAGGAACATTCTCGTACATCCTGAAAACAAGATCTTAAGAAACGATAAACGCACTGACGTCAATACCATACGCGATTCCCGAAACCGGTTGCATTAGAAGATTTATTTGCAATTTAGCACTGACCTCTAAAGGAATACCCGTCGTCTGAAAAACTCAACTTAGCTTGAAAAACCCAAACGAGATCAACTTACAGGCTCTAACACCATATAGAAATCGTGCTTGTCTTTGTCCGGTTGCAGTCCTTCGATTGGTTCCAGATAGTACGGATCTGCTTTGTAGAAATGAGGCAAAGACGCGAACGATGGAGAGCCAAAACGGCAGCTGGAAACGTTGACCAAGCCAGACGGGACGCACTCACCGTTGCAGAAACACGAATTTTCAGGATACAGAGTTCCTGAAATTTTCACTCATCAGGTGTCAAAACAACGGGCGATTGTACCATTATCGAGCATAAGTTCGTCAACGACGTATCTGTTTCCTAGAATGTTATTTATAACAGTCTGGCCGGAGTATCTCAGAGTCATCGTTCGACACAAATCGGGCGAAAAAAAGCTGATTGACTCTTTATTCGGAGGGCCGAAAAATTCTCCTGCTGAACCGTTGACTTTAGCGCAATTTCCTTCGAAGAAGGGAGTCTGTGTCCAGTAGTTCCAGGTGTACAGTTTGCCAAAGACCGAATTAATACCAGTGCCCATGTTGAAAACGCCCTCGTAGTCGGAGGAGCCGTTTCTCTGCACAAGAATTTTTAAATGTATTCATGTTTTTTTTATTTGTTTTTCAAGGAAATGTAATGATTTATATCCTACCGTGTAGAACCACCCAAATCTGTCCCATGGTGGGAGAGAGGTTCCTGCTAGAAACGGTAGCGTTTTGGCCACAGTGATCATTGGATCTTTGTAACCTTCGAATAGCATCTGGCCTACTCTTCGAGTGAGATGGATAGTGGGAGTTATGCTGGAGAGAGACAAGGACAGGCCTTTTCGGACGAAATAGCTCCACGCTCTGGAAGTATACACTGCTGACTGGAAGGGGAAATTTTTTTTACGATAGTACGCTATGATTATAAAAATTATTATAAAATATAGTTTGATGTTATTAATTTGAATATTTGACGAATCATCAAGTGGTTCCCAGTAAACACCTTAATTACCACTAGTTAAGGTATTAAATTATGCAAATGCGATTATAACATCGAAGTTTACTTTGTCGGTCTACTACTTTGTTATTGGTTTAGGAAAGATCAACAGTCACTTTGAAACTGTGCCTGACATTGTTTATTAAATTGTATCCGCTTGTAAAACGGGTGCAAGAACAGTCGAACTAGTCACACAAAGTATACTTGTACTTAAAGAAGAAACGAAAAAAAGACAAGCATAATTAGTAGTATATGATGGGGATTCTGGTTCACATTTTGGCGAGAAAATTTTGTCAAGAAAGCGTCATGAAAAAATCAAGTGTATGAATGAAAAGCAGCTCGATTTTAAAGTGTTCGTTATCACTTCTGACGTAAACAATTATTTTCTCTAAACAACGTTGTTATTATTAAGATAATGAATATGCACTGAACCATTTCATATCGCAGTTTATTCCACGTGTTACGTCTATCACTTATTTTTATTTTTGTTCTAGCAGATAAAACCTTAACTATGTTTTTAATTCCTAAATTACGCAAAAACACTTACGACAGCCACTGGATTAATCGTGGTAACTTCTTCTCTAATATCGTGATTCGAGCTCTTATCATCGTAGTACCAATGCTTCAAATGTTTAAAACTAACCGTCCCGTTATCATTCCATACAATATCACTCTTTTCTTTCGTTTCCAAAAACTTATAAGGTCCCATTTGGTTAAATTTGAGTTTAACCGTTTCGTTGTACACATCTTCAGGATTAGTCCAATTGAAAAAATAAAAATCGATGGGAAACGAATGCGGGAACTTCTTCCACAGTTCGAAAGTATGCGAAGTTTTCGTTAGAACCATGTTACTGTCCAATATATGTTTGAAAAGCACTGGCCACACAAAAACAAGAACAAACCCTACAGCCACTAAGAGCACAAAAACTGTACACCAACACAGAATCACAGGAAGGCACCTTCTCGATTTCATTTTGAAGTGTCTAGAAATGAAGAGTTTTAGTTAGGAGTCGCTGTTTATGTAGCATGTTTGGATGAATGAACTACAATGACTGTTCTTCAGTTAAGAAGGAATTTAATTGATACAAGCGACCGCTTATTGTCATTAAGTTAAGGTGAAGCTTCATTTGACCTCAGCTTAATTCGATTCGTTTTACGCGAAATCACGAACGGAATTTTTATGCAGTTACTTACCGGGTGGTTGAGGGTGAACTGATGCAATGCTTGCTAGTTTTAACAAACTACTAATTAAATTAGGGTTGTAAGATATCGGTCACTGCACTGGGGTTTGTTTAAGGTACGTGGCAGCCTGTAACATGGGGGTTGGAAATTAGAATGTATGTCGATAAGGGGTTGTTGCGTGGGCGATCGAGCAAACTAATAACATTTGATGGCTTACTTAACTTATTATGAAAAGAAAGTGGATTTTGATAGAGATTTTATACTCGGAGTAAGATTTTTGTTGGTGTTGATGAACTAAAAAGTGTATCGGGATACTGATAACTTTTTCGTAATGTGTTTTTAGTAGTGTTAATTCTGTGACTATCAAAGTTGCCTTGCATGCCGGTCACATAAACACGAAATGCACTTTTGTTTTTTATCGTAGAACCAAATTTTCTTTCGGGTCTTTCTTGCAAAAAGATTTAGTAACTGCTAGTCCTAAATAATAGTAATTTAGTCTTTATAATTTTACTTTTCACAAATCGTTATATACTCACCCTGAAAAATTTAATCACTTGTTCTAAAATGCTCAGTTAAACAATATTGTCACTCTCTTTTAAATACAACGCTTCTCTTGATTGTAAATAGTTGTACTTAATTAAATAGTCATTAGTCATTACGTGATTTATTTATCATGTTTTTGTTGTAATTGTTGGTTGTTTTGGAAGACGTCATTTGCGAACTACTTAGTGCAATGTGTTTGCAAAATTTAAATTTTCTTGAACTTCAGTTTTATTGAATAGCGAATGTGTGCGAATAATTAGTTAATATTTGTGTCGTTTGACGTTGGTCTCGAAGGCTAGAATTGCCAATTCCAGTTTAATTAATTACTCCATTTTCGTGAAGAGATTGGTATGAGAATTCCCTTTCTTTGGCCAAAATTTTAATCCGTTTTTCAGTGACTGCCCACTTAAAAATTTCTATAATGTTATCGCCTTAGACGTTTCAGGATTTTTGAGTACGAGTATATTTTATTATAACCAAAATATTAATAGATGCATTATTAAACCCTACAGGTTTTACAACAAAACCGCTTGCGATTTTTATAGTATATAGATTTTCGTCTGGTACTAAAATATGTACAATAAACAACTTTATTTTTTAATTTTTTCAAAATTTTATAAAAATGTTCTAGTCAGTGTTAGAATAATATTTTTTTATACAGGGTTAGTATAAAGTCCCGGCACAATTGAATAACTTTGTTATTGGAAACGTTTTTTTGGAAATTTTGTGTGCATATACATATAGTTAAACATGGTGATTTCATTACAACATTTTTGCTTTTTTTATCGCTTACAAGGACGCCTAATTTTTTGAAAATACTAATAAATAATAAATTACGAATGGAACTACAATAAATGTCGAAAGTGTTCTGCGTTTACAATTTGGCAGTGATGTAATCGATCAACAAAATGCCTCAATGAATTATGTATGATTTTATAATATTAGGTGCTTTTTTGTGATTTTTGTTCTATTTTTGTATCAGTAGCAATAAAGATGTTGATAATTTCTGAAAGTAGTTTTCTGTTCTGCTTCAGAAAATTCTGGGCGTTCCATTAAAAAAAAAGTGGGCGGCCCTGGTTATCAAACCAAGTGCAATAAAATAAGGAATAATGCTGTAATCAAGTCACCATGTTTAACTATATATCCAAGGCAAATTTCAGAAAAAAACCTTTTTAAATAACAAAGTTATTCGACCGTTCCGGGACTTTCTTTATACTAACCCTGTACTACTACTTACTAAGATACTACTGATTTTGGCAGATTGACTGACAAATGACATACTGTCTAAGAAAATAGAGGAAAAACATCTTATATACAGGGCTTTTAGAAATGATTCTAAGGGCGTAGGTGGCCATGGATTTCAAAAATCCCGCCTCGCTGAAATTATGCCTCGTTATGACAGTTCTCACTCGTTAATGTCATTTGTAACCTGTGAGTTAAAGCCATCGGTTTTATTGTTCTAACGTTTTTCAAGTATGAATTACAGTAATTCTTGTCGATACAATCTCAAAATAATAAAACAAAAATAGTGTGTGAATGGTCCAATTGAAATAGAAATATTTGGTTTCGAAGTCATTTTTTCTCAAAAATCGTAAAAATTACGCTAATTCATTTGGTGGTTCCGAACAAATGGTGTGTATTTTTGAAGAAATGGGGCTAAAATCTCCCGGAACATAAACTTCGATGTATTTATTCGAAAAATATAGCGTGTTAATAGTCCAGAAGCTAAATTTTAGAAATATTTGGTTTGAAAATCTTTTTTTTCAAAAATCCTAAATTACCCTAATTCACTCTATTTGTTTAAGAACTCCAATTGAATTAGGGTAATTAGAAATTTTTGAAGAAGTGAGGCCGAAAGGAACTTCTCGCGGTCGAAATCTAAAAGAAAAAAAAAACTTTAATAATTTTTTAATGTATTCCACAAAAAGGTAAAATTTTCATAAAAAACTGAGCTTTTGAAAAAGTTGTCAAAAAAAATTCACAAAAAATCTGGGATATATCAAAGTTTTTATTGTGAATTCATTTTTTTATTGTTTGTCTATAAAAGGCTTTCTAGGAAAAAATTAAAATTAGCCCCGCCCACCTACACGATCTCATTGTTTTTCTTCTGAAATAAGAAATAAATCTTATAGCAAATAGTACAACAAAAAAAGTTACGATTAGAACTTTTTTACTTTTTTTTTGTATAGATTCTATTAATTCCCAATTCCATTTTACAGAAGAAAAAAATAATTAACCCCGCCCACCCACCCACTTCTTTTTTAATGATTAATTTTATCTGCTCTGAATGAAAAGTGAAACTTACACTGTACCGGAATAAAACTTGTCGTTAGAATAAGAAGAGGGCGGGTGGGTGGGGTTAGTACTTGTTAAGATACTACTGATTTTGGCAGATCATATACTGACAGATGACATACTCTCTAAGAAAATAGAGGTGTTCCACTTGAAAAATACCTTATATACAGGGCTTTTAGAAAAAATTCTAAGGGCGTAGGTGGCCATGGATTTAAAAAATCTCGCCTCGCTGAAGTTATGCCTCATTATGACAGTTCTCACTTGTCATTAATGTTACTTGTAACTTGTCATTGCTTTTATTGTTCTAACGTATGAATTACAGTAATTCTTGTCGATACAATCTCAAAACAATAAAACAAAAATAGTGTGTTAATGGTCCAGGAGTAAAACTTTAGAAATATTTGGTTTTGAAGTCAATTTTTCTCAAAAATCGTAAAAATTACGCTAATTCTTTTGCAGGTTTCGAACAAGTGTGTATTTTTTAAGGAATTGGGCCAAACGTGACTTCTGGAGGTCGAAATTTATAAAAAAAAGTCTAGGCTATTTTTTAATGCGATGGAAAAAGTGTCCAAATTTTTGGAAGGGGGAATATTGAAAAAATGAGCTTTTGAACAAGTTATCTAAAAATTGACAAAAAATATCGACTTATAGAAATAATGTAATTGGTGTAAAATGCGAAATTTTTATTCATTCGGTGTTTTTGAAGAAATTGTAGGAATTTTTGAAGAAATGAGGCCGAAAGTAACTTCTCGAGCTGAAAATCTAAAAGAACTCTTTATAGGCAATTTTTGATTATGGTCCAAAAAAGGTCCAAATTATATATATTGAAAAATTAGGCTTTTGAAAAAAAGTTGTCAATTAATTATTTTAAATAGAAAAAAGTAAAAAAGACTCTCGCAGCATTTTTAATTTGATTTTCGGATTCTTTAATTTTCAGTTTTTCAATTTTTCATTTCTTCAAATTTTCGATTTTCATTTCTTCGTTTCCACTTTTTATTTTCTTTATTTTTACAATTTTTCCATTTTTCAATTTTCCGATTTTATAATTTTTTGTTATTTTAGGTTCAATTTTTTCAATTTTTCGTTTTTTCAATAACTCGTTTCTTCAATTTTTCTTTTTTTTTTTGTTTCTTCAGTTGTACAATATTTAACTCTTCGAGTTTTCATTTTAAAATTTTTCAGTTTTTCGATTTAACAACTTTTGGATTTTTTCCATTTTTTGCGATTTAACGAGTTTTCAGTTTTTAATTCTTCAATTTTTCGATGTTTCAGTTTTTCATTTCTTCAATTTTTCGTCTTTATTTTTTAAAATTTTTTATTTTTTAGTGTTCTGATTTTATAATTTTCTTTTTCTTTTCAATGTGAAATTTCTAAGTTTTTGGATTTGTACTTTTTCGGATTTCAATTTTTCATCTTTTACATTTTTTAATTTTTCGTTTCTTCAATTGTTAATTTGCAATTTTTTGTTGAGTTCTTTCTTTGATTGGAAATTTTTCGATTTTCTATTTTTCCGATTTTTCATTTTTTTGATTTTTTAGCTTTTCGAATCAAAAAATGAAAAACTAGCAATATTGTAAAATTTAAAAATCAGAAATAAAAAACCCAAAAACTATGAACTAAAAATGAAATCTTTGAAAAATCTCAAAAAGGGAAATCAAGAATTTGAAAAACTGAAGAAACGAAAAATTAGAAAATCGAAAGATTACAAACTGAGAAACTTAAATATCGAAAAGTGCAATATTAAAAAAACGACATATTGTAAAATCGAAATATTGAAAATTAAAGAATACCCAAGATTGTAAATTCCAAAAATTGCAAATTAGAAACATTTAAAAATTGGAAAATCGAGGAATCGAAAAATGGAAGATTGAAAAACGAAAAATTATAAATTGGAAAGAAACATTGAAAATAAATGAAAGGAAAAACTGAAAAATACTGATAAAAAGTCGAGAAAATGAAAATTAAAAAATCGTGAAAATAAAAATTCGTTTTTCAAATTTTCGGTTTTTCAAATTTTACATTTTTTAATTTTTCGTTTCTTCAATTGTCAATTTGCAATTTTTTAGTTTTTATTTTAAATATGTAATACTAGTTTAGTTATAATTAAAAAAAATATTACCTCTTCAATTTTTCGATTTTTAGTTTTTGAATTTCTCGATATTTAACTGTTCAATTTTTTGATCTTTCAGTGTGCCAATTTTTTAATGTTTCAGTTTTTTGTTTCTTGAGTTCTTTGATTTGAAATTTTTCGATATTCCACTTTTTCTATTTTGCAATTTCTGGTTTTTTCCACTTTGGTTTTCGATTTTAATTTTTCGATTTTTCATTTATTTGATTTTTCAAGTTTTCAAATCAAAAAATGGAAAAATTGCA